TTTAAATGAAATTTTAGTTTCCTTCTTTTTATATGCACAATCGAGTCTGTGTGTTTCGAGCTGCTCTGATGTTTTGAAAATTTGTCCACAGGAGCAAGAATGTACGTTGGGTGCACTGTGGAATCGGATTTGATGTTGTTGCAATATAAATTGGCTTTTGAATAGTTTTCCACAAAAATCGCATACAATGTCGTTTCGCTTCACTGGCTTTGTTCTCATCAATTCATGGGATTGAGATTCACTTTCAAGTTGTTGATTTGAGTCTAAAACGATAAGAGATATTTGAAAATGTTGAGTAATTGGTTCATTTTTGATTGAGCTTCGTCATGCTATGTGTAATGTGCATATCCCAAAATATAAAAAAAATTAGCTGAATTAAATATCAACATTTTTTTAAATATTTGATGCAGAAGCACCGTATCCAGCTCTCAAGACGCATATAAATCGTAGTCGTTTATACATTGCGTGTTAAAAACACATTGTACGCTCGTATTGGTGACTACGATTTATATGCGATTGACGTTTTTTTTGTTCCAAATTAAGAGATATGAAAACAATAACAAATTTTAGTATTTGCAACATCAAATATCAAAAAATATTAATGTTTGTTCGTATACCCATATAATTCATTTGCGGAGTAATTTTGACGGTGGCGGGACTGTGCGGAGTTTGGCGGAGATGACATACAAACTCTGTGTGTACGAGGGTAACAGCACTTCTATGTGCATCATTCTTACGCAGATGATTAGTAACTTAGTTGTGTGTACGGCTACTAAGATGTTCGTTTGGAGAAAATAAATCTATGAACAGCAAAGAATGCTGTTGCACTCGTACACACAGCATTTGCATGCTATCTCCGCCGAACTCCGCACAGTCCCGTCATCGACAAAATTACTCCGCAAATGAGTTATATGGGTATGATATACATATAGTATGTTTTTAATTCAGTTCCCTTACCTTCAAAACTAATGAGATTTGTGCCATCATCAACTATTTCTTCCTTGAGTTGGATATCATCCTTGATTTGTGTATACGGCTCTTCTTCATGCTCTATTTGGGATTGTGTAGCACTGGTTCCGGCCAAATCGTTATGAATTTCTCGTTTTTGCTGTGAATTGAATGGTTCAACTGTTTGTCGGTGGTCATGGACACATTTCGTTTTATGGGACAAAAGTTCCGCTTCATTTCGAAATATCTTGGTGCAAATTTCACAAAAATATGTTGATCCATCAGAATGAAAAGATGCCATATGTTTAGACATTCCCCTTTTTCTCAATACCTTGCCACAAATATTGCAAGGAAGTATTTTAGGTTTTTTGTTATATTTAGGATTATGCATCCAATTCATGTGCTGTTTAAGGCATTTTTTTGAAGGATACACTTTTTTACAAATATCACATTCGAAATGACCTTTTTCGATAGGCTTTCGTTTCAACAGACATACAGATTGATGCAGCGACAACTCCTCTTCGTTGGAAAATATTTTACAACAGCGTTTACAAACAGGTGTTCCTGTAGAATACAGTATTAATCAATAAATTTACAAAGGTTCGAATTGGATCCAACTGTACCTTCAGGCGAATGATATGCTCGCTTATGTCGTGCTATTGTTGTTTTATTAAACATTTTACCGCAATCATTACATCGAACCTTTTTTCTTGTCTTACAAAGACAGCCAGCCTGGTGTTTGGACAATTCTTGCTCATTTGGAAATTCTTTGTGACAAATTCGACAAATATATGTACCTGAAAGGTAGACGTTTAATTAAATTATGATAGTATGATATATTCAATAAAATACATACCCGGAGGAGCATGTTGAGTCTTTTTGTGAAGTACTAGAGATGTGGCCAATAATATTTTACCACAAATGTTACATCCAATCTTACGTTTCTCGTCATTAGTCTTTATGCTATTTATCAGTTGTGGATCGCTCTTGGGTTTGTTTTCTGAATCTAATTGTGTGCATTCCAAACTATCTTCAATAATATCATCTACAACTTCATTCATTGGCATTGGATCGATTTCAATTTCGTTATCATTGTTCATTTGGGGAGCCAACAGAAAATCATCACTATCCTCATTCTTGAGGACAACATTCGCCTGTTCACATTCATCGATTGACTCTGTTATTACGCGTTCGTCAACGCAAATTGACTCTTTAATCATAGAAAAAGTTGTAGACCAATCATCGTTGTCACTTCCACTGGCAGTAATGTCATCTTCAGTCTCAGTTATGTATCCCGAATGATTGACCGGTGACGATGCTTCAGTAAATTTCTCAATTTTAACATCAATCTTTATGCATGTTACAGCATTATGTCGAGTGTACAAATCACTACCGATTCGAATCAAATTCTGGTCGCATTCGATGCATGTTTCGTGGGCAAAATGCTGTAGAATGTGGTCATCTTTTTCGTTGGCACTGCCAAATGTTTGCGGACAAAATAAACATTGATGCACTGAAAATAACACGATCGTTTTAAAATTGTTCAAATGTGTAGAAAAGATGACATCTTACCAGCTCTAATTGCATCCATTATCAAGACTATCTCGGTGCAATACTTTTTTTGAATGTAAAATCAAGAAACTTCGTTTCCAAGTTTGTTTATTATCAAATGTCAATGAAACTTGTACTTGCTTGTACCGTGAACTGAATTGTCAACTTCAAAGTGTACTGCATAAGTATTTTCTTGAGTATTTGTTTTCGAATGGTATTTAATGTGGATACAAATATAGACTTATACAAACAATTAAAATTCAAAAGCAGATTTTGTGCCATTTATTCTATTATCAATGACAATTGGACTTATTTTCATAGAAAATTCATGTCTATCTAAAATGTTTTTATAATTTTTCATGGCGATTGTCTTTTTGTATATTAACCATCTCTTTTGTAGACAAGTCCGTGCACCTTTCTCCTATGTCTATAGACACCGGAAGACGAACTGAATTCCTTACTGCATCCTTCGGTTGGACAGATATATTTTCTTCCCGAATGGATCCTCATGTGCCAGCTTCTACCTTTGGGCGAGACGAAATACTTTCCACATCCTTCAAATTTACATTTTATATTCTTTTCGGCCTTATGCGTAAACTGATGATGTCTGAACGATTGGCTGAATTTAAAACTTTTTCCACATATTGAGCATACGAATTTTCGAATATTTAAGTGGACGGCATCATAGTGAACTTGAAGAGCAGACCTTCCCAAGCAACGTCGCTCGCATAGTGAACATTTGAACGTTTTCCCAAAAATATGCTGCCCTCGTGCGTGATTCGTTAAATTTTGCCACCCTTTAAACACCTTATGGCATAAGTAGCACTCAAGTGTTTTGTCCAAAATTTTAAATGAAATTTTAGTTTCCTTCTTTTTATATGCACAATCGAGTC